CCCCCCCCCACCCCTTCTTATTTCCTAATCAACCTGAGCTAAAGTTTTAGACTGAAATCACTGTGTACTGCTACAGATGGCCTCCACAGCCAACTGATCGTAGAAAAGACAAAAATACTACATGTCAAATTAAATTAAGTCAAATTTACAAATATAACGATTTTTCCACAACACGTTTACTAATTCAGTATAAGTATATATTATTTAACTGAAGCTACCATTTGTACTCAAATATGAATCAGGTGTTCCTAAACCTTCCCATGCCATGGGCCCCCCCAAACAGTGTTAGCGTTTGGCTGGGGACCCCCCCCCCTTGCAAACCCACAACAATGCTACAAAATATGTAAAGAAGCATCAACTTTTAGACTGTTTTTCTTACTTTTATTCACTATCATTTACACTATTATGCAATTCAACAATTGCCACCTTTGTTAAGCACAAGAATTTGAACTAACATGATTTAAACAGAATATATTCCCACTGAAAAAACAACTTTTCACAAACTTGACTAGAACAAAACAAAAGACACGAAACCTCTTTTAAGTTCTTTTAAATAACATTTCAATGTATTTTGAAATAACGATTTAAAATATTTCTTAGATTTAGTTTTTTTATTTTTATTTTTATTTTTCATGTCTTCGCTCTAGTTCTCTGAAGGCCCCCACTTTGAAAAACAACGAATTTAAAAAACGTGGAATCCACTGTCTAAACTTTTTGGAAACAAAGTTATTTCCATAAGGAAATCCAATAATACTCTGAGTGTTTAATGAAAATGATTTAATCACAAATAATGTTTAAATAACTCATTCTTATGAGATTATTTTATTTATCAAAGTACTTGAAGCATTCTGCTCCAACAGTTTAGTCTGTGCTTCCTGTTTGTCTTTTTTCCCACCTGAACGGAGCACTGAGACGCCTCATAAACGAAAAAGAGAAATTTTAAGTTGAACTACAAACCTCCGCCAAGTCCTTTTCTAGCCTGAAATAGTGAAGAATCCTTCAAAAAATTCCTGGATCCGGATCGTGATCATCACCAAAATGTAATGGTGTGTACCTTTGGCCAATACCCACCTGTGGTAAAAATGTCATGAAAATCCATCCATAAGTTTTTGAGTAATCTTTTCCACAGACAGACAGAAGGACAGACATACTGCCCGAAAACATGACCTCCTCCCTTGGCAGAGGTAATAAATGTCCAAACCTGTCTTTCTGCGCAGTCTTTATGGAAATCAGTCGTGAAGTGAGAAGCTGTGGTCATTCTTGTTTCAATCCTTCAGCATGGCAGGAGGTGTCACTTTGTTTCCTGGATTTTACACTCCCACCCCGCCCACCTCTCCTCGGCCGCAGTTGCTCTCTAAGTGGTGGGTAGAGGAGATAATAGTCTGGGGTTATTAACCTTTTCCGCTTTAGAGAGTTTTTAGCGGTGAAGGGCTGTGGCCTTAGAGCTGTGAGGATTTCATCCTCTGTAAATCATTTTCTGCCACAAGTGCTGCCAAATGGAACCATGGAGCTTAATACACTCTCTCWCACACACACATACACAAAAAGAGCAGGACACGTGGATTTATGGCATCCATATATCTCCCATTTCTGCTCGGGATACAGTGGAGGCCGAAGCTTTGAAGTGTTCTGGAGGAGTTCAAGCTGTGTCCACAGAGTCCTCCAGGTGGATGGCATCATTTCTCTCCAGCATGTCAGATAAAATAACCCCCAAAATGCTTAAAAATCACACGCAGTAAAAAGAAAGTCAGACAGATGGGTTTAATTTGAAGACTGAATACTCAGTAAAACCAATACTGCTCCGTTGTTTTGATGGAGGGTATAAACATTATGAGCAGTGCTGGTGAATGAAAGCATTTTGGTCTGTTTCAGGTATTAGCAACGCTGAGGCCAGGCAGCCGGGCAAGGCACCGAACTTCAGCGTGAACTGGACGGTCGGCGACCAGGCCCTGGAAGTGGTCAACGCCACCACGGGGAAGGACGACATGGGGCGCCCCTCACGGCTCTGCAAGCACGCGCTGTACAGCCGCTGGGTGCGCCTGCACACCAAGGTACTGAGAGGCCTCAGCATCCAGCTGCCTGCGACGCTCTGCAGACAAAATTGTTTAGCGTTCCCACGCAAAAGATAATTTTTATATATACTGAATTAAATCAGACTTTTATTTTGAAATTCCCGGATACCAAAACAGGATGTCCTGAAATTGCCATTGATGTTGCATGGCTGCACTGTTAAAATATCGGCATATGACATACTTTCATGCATGGCTGTGTGATATATTCATTTTGAAACTGAACTAAAGTAGTAGGCTAACTTGCTAATGGTGAGCAGGTGAAATTGTTAATAAGCCTGCAGGCACAACAGTGACAAACGACTTTTGTGAGGGAACGCAAAAGGTATTGCGAGGTAACACAATACTATTATGAGGGAATGCAAAATAAAAAAAAATCCCCCTCAAAACCACTTCTCCCTGGCTTTTCACAATAGAAGCAACGTCTCCGCATGCTAACGTTGCACATTAAATCTATCCATACATGTCACTGAAGAGGTGTTTACTGCACTTAGTGATGGTGAAAATCAGTTGTTTTTTTTAGATGTCAGTCAATAAAAGCAGCAGAACCGCCACCCGCCGTCAGTTATTGAGAAGCTGCTCCTGTCACTGCCTGATCTGTTCCGGAAGCACTATTGCACTAAATGATAGACTTCTGGATTACCAGTTGATGCTCTCGATTTAGAAAAAAAATACGGAAAATAAAAGTGTGCTAAATTATACTCTGAAAACTGTTTTATTGAAATATACATTCTGATTAATATCTATCTATCTATCTATGTATCTATATATATATATATATATATATATAT